GTCCTCCGCGCCCTCCCGGTGCGCCCGCCACACGCCCTGAAGCCCGGCGAAAACGGGAACCCAAAGAACCCCCCGATGATGCGCAACGCGAAGTATTTCTACCCCAGTGTGAATCGATAGTCCGGAGGGGAGAGACCATCTAGGGGGGAGGGGGGGGGACCAAACGAAAAAAAGGCGAAAGGAATAATTATAATCCTAATCGTGCGAACGATCATACTACGGTGGTGGTAAGGGGGAGGTAAAAAAGAGGATGGCGGCAGATGGGGCGTCGCGAGGGGGTGAGGCGTCTGACAGAGGCGCACCCTGGGTCTGGGGTCTATGGCGATCTAATGGTTACCAATTCGTCAGAGTATTTTATTCTTTCATTCTTCCCCTCTATTGGTTTGCTTTTTTGGGGTATTCTTGGGTGAGCACGTTTTTCGCGCCAATGTTGAGATGTTTATATCACATTCATATCCATTTGGGAAGTGCTTTTGTTATTTTGTGCTGCTTTGTCTTAGACATGTAGATAGAACGAGGAGTTCATGTTGAACTCTTTCATGCCGTTTTCCACGTCTCCCATGTGATTATTTCATAGAATTGTTTCGCGTACGAAATTGAAAAAGGACATGGTGCACTCGGCAGGCACTCATCATCTGTGGACAACGACCTCTTTACTGTGGCCGCCAGCTACGGATCCTTGTAAACTTCACGATTTCTCTCGTTTTTTCTTTGTCTGATGGCGGTGTGGGAAGAGGAGAGGGTTTTTTGTTAGCGAAGGCTTAATTTAACTTAAAACGGGCGTTAGATCATCACCTTTGCAGAAAAAACTAGTCTACCTTGTTCTTTATATTCGACAAAACGGGAGACAAAATGGACAAGTCCAAGGCTATTAATGTACTGCGTGGAATGAAGTTTATGCAGCGCAAAGAGGAGGCTAAGCGTCGAGCGCTATATGAAATCGAACAGCAAAATCAAATCGAGCAACACTTGCGCGAGCTTGACGCGGCAAATGAAGCGGATTTGCCCTCATCGGCTCCCTCAGCCACCTTGCCGCCGCCGATTATCATTCGCAATTCGCCCTTCCCCCGAAGCGGATACCTCATGGCGTGTCGGACGTTCGATTTTAACCCCAACGAAGTCGTGACGCCGCCTGTCGAGGAGTTCCACCCTCGTGAAACCCCAATCGCGCGCTCCCCCCCACGAGCGAGAAGTGAAAGTCGCGGTGCTACGGAGGATCTGTGGGAGGAGGACGAGGAGGGTAAGAAAGAAGAAGAGGTAGACCCCTCCGCGCCTTTGTGGGCCCCCACCCCTGTGGCGACGTCCAACGCGGCTCCCGTTCAACCGGCCAGGACGGAAACGAAACGCGAAGGCGGGGGGCGTTTTCACCCCCCCAACGCGATCAACGCGCCGAAGCTGCCGAAGCGCCTCGCGAAGGAAATGATGGCGCGCCAGGGAGGCAGCAAGCGGCGCCGGAAGGATGCGGACGACGGGGCGCCCGTCGAGGAGTCGTAACCTAATTCCACTAATGATCCACGTCTAAGAAACCCTTGGGGAACTCCTTCCCACCCAGTGTGCCCCCCCTCCCCCCCCCCTCTTTCTGACTGACCGTCACGTCTGTCCCTCCTTTCCACCCATTTCAGTCCTTTCTTCGTTGTGACACTCCGGGAACATTCCTTAGCCAGAACTATTATTAGTAGTAGTAGTAGTATTTTTATTTTTTTTTTATTTTTTTGTGCGTGTGGGGGTGTGTCTTTCCCCATTTCCGAGCGTGATTCCGTCGCGGGCGTGGTGGATTCCGCCGTTTCCGATTTCCGATTGATCCCGCGGGGTCGGATGGACGAGACCGCGTCCTCGCCGCCGCGGCCGCGGCCCCCCGTCGAAGACGCCTTCGACGCCCTCCGGCAGGTCGCCGTGGGGCTCTTCCGGCAGCGCACGCGCGA